ATTGAAACCATTTTTTTAACTGTGACTCCAGTTCCCACAGCCGAAAACATGGCTTGCCTAAGTTCACGCCAGTGCGCACAGAAAAAGAGCGTGTGCTCTGCGTCGTTAATGTATGCTGCTTTTTCGATGCGTGAACCGTTCCAATACACACATTTTGCGTCTGCTTCTATTTTGAATCTGTAAAAATACTGGCCGAAACAACCATGAACCGACAACGCTTGTATAAGGTAGTAGCCAACTTCGCCGTGTTTCCTTTCCAACCATGTACCGAGGTGAGGAATCAGGCGGTAGGTCCACCTACCTTTTGATTCTCCATCCCATCTCTCCTACCATTTCTGAACTAGTTTACTTCTGAACTCTCTACGTATTATCGCTTTGAGTCTATCGCTACGTTCTGAAGTACCTGGATCTATGCTTCCAACCACTTTGGTGACCTCCATAAAGAAATCTTTCTCGTTGCATTTGTCGTCGATTTTAATCCCAAGATCTTCTATTTTATCTAATCCGTTTTTGCTCACTATTGCGTCTTCTATAAATATTTTTGGCCTGGCGTATCGTCCAAACAACTAAAAATCCATTGTTTCAATCCATTCTACAAAATACGCTGACAGCAAAATTAAGTTTACCTAAAACTATAATATCTAACTAACGTTTTCTAATGCAAAATGCTTTAATAATCCATAACATTGATAATTTCACAAAAAGTATCTAAACCTCAGTTATGATGAGAAAGGTAATTTATAAAATTAAAATAAATATTCATTTATTTGAATTATTTTTATAAATACCAATATAAACAACCGACTACATGATTGAAATATCGTCTTGAATGATTTCTCAATTATCGGATGTTGCAGTTGTTGCTGGAATACCGTACATTATGAAGATCTAAAGAAAATTTGGAGAAAATGATAAAAAAAAGGATTAATATGAGGATCAACATACTAAACAGGTCAACAGAATAAAGAAACTTGAACTGGATTTTGCAATCAGGCAAAGTTAGTGGAAAATAACTATTCCATCTTGAATCGTTACCATCATAAAAAAAATATTCAGCTCAGTCGGATAAGTTAAATAGGCAGTTACCGTACCTATTTTACAATAACTATTTAAAACTATTGCTTATTGAACAACAAATGTCCGGACGAAAAAAAATTAACCGACCATGACAAAATACTGTAATTACCATAATTTTGTCTAATACGCCTATCCATAATTTTTTTCCCCCTATTCCTTGTCGAAGGGTTTCTTTTTAATGTTTTATCATTTCTGCACTAAAGTCAAAAATATTTTTTGATCCAAGTACAATGGAAAATAGATCTTTCAGACGATATTCTTTTTTTGGGTTTTAAATATCCTCTTTTTTTTGCTTACAGCATGTTCTTTTTAACTAATTTTTAATTGTAAAGATAATTTAACTTCAGCATTTGTTTTCATTTTCATTCTTTTTACTTTCATCGAGAAGTTATCATTTTGTTTTGTTCTTTTTTCTACGAATTTACAGTGTCAGAAAAAATTTCCATCACAAATTCCCTCCCTCTATATATTATATACAATAATCGTTTTACTAATCCGCTTAATTTTTTGATCTCCACTTTGCATTCAATGAACCTTTATTTTTTTTCTTTTTTCAAATAATGCAACAAGACTGATAAGTCACAAAATGCTCTACAAATTTTTTCTTTTTTTTGTAGAAAATAATATTGCTTATTTCATAAAAAATAATTTTCATTTCTGCCATTTTTATTCAATGTGAGGTGCTTTAAAAAAAACACAAACAACGGCTGCCAATCTCTTGCCACTAATGTTTTTGCTTCACAAAAATAAAAATTTCTCTCGTTTTTAAGAACACTCTAGTCAAAAAATATATTATGTAAAAAAATATTAAAAAAAAAATTATGCCTTGTAAAAATCGCCTTATGAAATACATACGAGCATATTTGTGCAATTGTTGTGTAAATTTTTGTTTGCATATGCGCAACTTCATGTTTCTTTTCGGGTTTAAAAAAAAATGTTTTCTTTTTTCATCAAAAAATTTTAAAGTTTCCCTCTGAATGCATTTTTCTATAAAAAAAAAAAACCTATTTATTATATAGAATGTGTGAGATGACGAATATTTTTGAATTCGGAGGATGAAGGAAATTGAGATATAATAAATGTAAATTTGATGAATGGTTATTTAGTACCATATAATATAGTTTTTGAAATGTTGTTGCAATTGAGCAAACAAATTTTTCAATTTTAAATATATATTAAAATAATTTCTATATTTAATTCAAAAAAAAAAAATTAAATGTTAATTTTTAAATCTTTTATGAAAAGTCATCAATGATCCTCGCGAAAACCACGCATTGCATCTATTTATTCATATTTAAAATAATTTTGGAAAAAATGCCCAAATCTGTCCACTAGTTTTTTTTTCTATTAAAAAAAAAAATCGTCTACGATAGTAAACTGTGTGTAATATTCGGAAAAAAAATGCTTGTAGTAAAAGAGAATTTTTTTTTTGTCATTCATTGCAAAACATATGATTCACATATAATTAAATTACATGAATGTATTTATTAACTTCATTAATCATATTCATATAAATATTTTTTTATAGTTGCTGTTAATTTTTTCCGAATTTTGGAACAGTTTACTTATTTTAGAAAGTTATTTATTATTAATTTATTGAATAATTATATAATAATGTTATTATAATTAATTATTATTATTATTATTGAATCTCACGCGGTGGGCGGAGAAAAAAAAATGCACACACACACACGCCGTACTGTATAAGTTAACAACATCAAATTATTAATTGAAATAAATTTAACGCATGTACGAAAAATTACATGTTACGGCAAATAAATAAACAAATTTCCTAATACCAAAACGTTATTCTTTCTCTTTTTGTTCACAAAAAAAAATGATAAAACAAATTTTCATTACAATAAGAAACATAATTGAAAAAATCCTATTAATTTAAAAATACGATTATAAAATCAATTTTTGACAATTTAATTAATTATTACATTTTTCTAATAGATAAAAAGTGGTTTTCATTTATTATTTATTAAATCTAGGGGATTTTTTTTTAATTTTATGGCAACTTTATATTTTTTAATACTGTCAGGAGAAATTGATTTACATAAAGAAAAAAATATTTTACAAACACTTTTTTTATGAAATTTTTATATACATTAAAATATATAATTTCTAGATGAAATTTTTATTTATAGAAAATATTTTTCTAAATATTATTATTTTTAAAAATATTATTTCTTTGATGACTACAATTTTTTATATCAAACAAATTTCCAATGTCAGATTTGAAAAATTCAAAATGGCAATTCCAATATGACGGAAATTCAATCGAATTTGATCAAAGTTACCAGATATCAAAATGGCGGATCAAAAATGGTTGATTTTCGTTGAGTTTAACAGATTTACTTAAAACTTGTTTCTCACGGGTGTTTTTGAGGTACCCGCTTGTAAATTTGGCATCAGATTTTCATAATTTAAAATGTCGGTACTAATATGGCGGAATTTATTTTTTATTTCATAGTATTAACTTTGAATCTCGTTGTTAGGTAGTTTTTGGTGTCAGTGATTACAGATTTATAATCATATTTGTAATTGACGACCTCAAAAATCTTCCGAGTAACAAGTTTTAAGCAAATTGAAAAAAAATCCGCCATTTTAATACAGTTATTTTGGAATTTTGTAAATCTCACCTCATATTCGCAATCAACAATTCCAAAAATCTCCGATGAACAAGTTTTAAGCGAATTCGATCAATTTTGCAAAATTCTTCTGCCATATTGAATCCGCCATTTTGAAAAATTCTTCCGCCATATTGGATACGCCATTTTGAATTTCGAAAATCTGGTGTCAGAATCGTAATCAGTGTTTATTTCAAACACCTTTTTCGCGAAAAGATCATTTTGGACACATGTACAGAAAAAAAATTTCCAATGCTAAAATTAACGATTTTTATAATGTTATAACTATTTTACAGAACATATTTAAAAACAAAAAAAAAATAAAAACACATGTTTGTTTAATTGCATTAAATATAAAAATGTAATTATAAATGTCAAAAAAATTGCTTTTAAAAAATTACATTTCCCTTAAAACCTAAATAAAAAACAGCTTTTTTCCCCAAAAAAATTCATTAATTTTTGTTTTTATTGTCTTAAAAATTCTGTGTTGTTTTATGTTTATATTGTGCTATTGGCACAATATTTTTGATAATTATTTCCTCTTTTTCTAAATTTTCGGATTTTTTAAAATTTACTTCGATTTAATAAGTATATTTAATAGAATTAAATTTCGGAAAAAAAAATAATCTTCGTGTGTTATTTGTAAGGAATTTTATATTATATTTTTTGTAGTAAGGAATTTTTTTTTTTTTTTTATTGAGAAAACGAAATAGTTTAATAATGAACAGCATTCTCGTTTGCGAACTCACGCGCTTCTGAGGGCACACGATTCAAAAATGTCTTCTTCGAGTTTGAAAGCTTAGGAACGTTCGACCTCATTCCATTATTGCGACTGACTGTGATGCTAAGAGTAGAACGCACATTACATGACATTTCTCCTCTATACGAGATGATGTATCTCAGTAGTAGAATATTATTCTTGTCACAAAATTCAAAAACATATTTAAAAGAAAAAATAAATAAATTTTATTTATACAGATTTCAAAAATATTTATTTTTTTATAAAATTTTTGAATATAAATATATTTGGGATTTTTAGAATTAATCGATTAGCCATGGCAGAACACTTTTTTCTAAGAAGAATGTTTTTTCTAAATTTTCATGTATTATGATTTATATTTTAATTGAAAAGACTATAACAATAAAAAAAAGGAAAATAAAGAAGTAAATCGTAATTTATCTTCACGAATTCATCATCCATTAGCACCAGGTATGGATAATGAAAAAATTACAAATTTCATCAAAAAAAATCGGAAAATAATATTTTATTATTATTTTCCACAAATATAGGAAATTTACTTGACGAGGCGGAAGTATTGGATTGGATGGTGAAGCAAAAAAATGACGCGAGTATTGAAGAAATTGATCGTGACACTTTGACAAAGTACATTGAAACCAAGGAATTTTTAGCAGTGATTTTTTGTAAGAATAAAAACTACGATATTCATATAATAGTAAATATATTGTTTATTTAACAAAAAAAAAAAAAATAATAATTTGTTTTTTTTTCGTAGATAAAGAAGATGATCCAGAAACGCCAAGAGTTTTGAGACACATTGAATTAATTGATGATGAAGCATCAGAATATGGAATAAAAATTGTACAAATGAAAGATCGTTTAATGGCTAAAAAATATGGATACAGAAATCCACCTGGTATCACATATTTTCGAAAGGGTAAATATATAAATTACGATGGTGACATTGATGATGAGGAGGAAATTTTAGATTGGTTGACAAATCCCGAAAATATGGAACTCACTGATCATATTGAAAGAATTAATAGGAAAATGTTTCATAAAATTAGACAATCAACTGATTATCTTGCTGTCTTTTTCTGTGAGTATTATTTTTATATTGAATTTTAAAAAAATTAAAATAAATTTTTTTTAATTATTAAAAATAATGATAGACAACTTTTTTTTTTTTAATTATCGATTTACTATTTTGAACTGTTTATGTAATTTTAAAATGATTTTAAATTATTTATTTCAAAGAAATTTTGAAATTGTTTAGAAATTGACAAAATTTAGGTTAATCGGTATATGTCCATTAGCGCTACAGTGGACACTTTCGGAAATATGATAGAGAACTTACTTACCGACAGAATAGACAAAAATTTACGTCGGTCGATAATACAGAACCCTAGTAAAAGTGAAATAATAGAAATTCTTTTACTTAATATTCTTTTTTAAATATAAATTAATTTATTAATTGCATTATTAATTTGTCGTCTGCTAGCATAGCGCTTTGCGCGTCACCTACAACTTGGTAAGCGCGCGTAATTCAATTCCAATTTAAAATTATTTATATTTAAAAAAATTCTCGAAAATAATAAATAATAATAATTAATACAAATAAATTAAAATTAGTACTTACAACTAAAAATTTTATTTTATTTGTATTATTATTATTTCTATTATTTTTATCTTCTCACTTTCATCAGGGGAAAGAAAAATATAACTAGTTTCAAAAAATAATAATTATTTCCGTAATTCGTACTTAGTTTCCAAATAATGAAAAAAAAAAAAATTTAGAAAATGCCAATTTTTTTTGTGAAAAAGACATTAAGCTATAATAATGTGTTTAGATAGTAACGACTGTAAACAATGCAGTCGCGTTCTTTCTGAAATTGAGCATATTGATGATGACGCCGATAGTGCTGGTATTAAATTCGTCAAAATTGATGACAAACAATTGGCCAAGGATTATGGAGTTTTTGCATTACCGGGAATTTTATTTTTTAAAATGGGATCAAAGGAACCTGTCATCTATGCTGGTGAATATTTTTCATATAAAATTTTTTATTCAAAAATTTAAATTATTTCTGTTATGGAAAATAAATACCTTTCTTTTTTTGGAGGACAAAAATAATTTATAAATCGTGGAATTTTCCTTTTTTTTTTTTTTTTTTCAACAGGCGATTTATATGAAGAGGAACAAATCTTACAGTGGTTAATGATTCAAAAGGATCCATCGAGTGAAGTGATTGAAGCACTGGAAGGCGAGGATTTACTTCATCTTATTCGAGAATCGGATTCATTAGCGGTTTACTTCTGTAAGTCGAGCAGTCCCAAGGGCTCAACAATCTGCCAAGCAGGAATGTATCTCTAGCCTGCTGCAGCTATTCAATAATAATAATAATAATTATTATTAATCATTTATGTCTCGCGCGCGCGCTTATGCTTTTTCAAAATGTCTTTTTAATATGCAAAAATCTTTTTCATTTAAATTCGTAATTTAACGAAAAACAATTTTTCAAAAATTTTAAATGAAAGTAATTTTAATACTAAAAAATATTTATTTCAACTAAAGAACGTAAAGAGAAACAAATTCTATTTCCCTTAGACCAAAAAAAAAGGAAAAAAAACATTCTTTTATATTCTAAGAGAAAAGAAAACGCAGTGAACGCGTACATAGAATGAATCGATACGTTGATTTTCTAGTCAACAATCAGCTGAATTGAATAGACAGCTTTTTTTGACTCTCTTGTTTCATTTTTTTTTCTTTTTTTCATCTTATTTCTATTATTTTATTGTGACAAGAGCTGTACACAAATCGTATATATACTAATGTCGTAGGGAACAGAACACTTTGCGACATGTGCCAATCAAAAGTTTTCCGCAAGCAGAGACGCCACAAGCAGGAACAGAAGTCTACTGATGCTGAAACAAATGAAGATTCCACTGGTATACGAGAACCAAATCTGGTTAATCTCCACCCCCCCCCACCGTTTTGTTTAATTGATAAGAGAAGTTTTCCAATTAAACATAATATTGTGTTTAATCAAGTTGATTTTACTTTCGAATTTCGAAAATTTCGAAAAAAAAAATAAGGAAAACTCCTCCCTTTGTTCCTATATATATATATTTAGAATTTGAATCCAAGATCCTGCAAGAGAATTTTCATTTTTTTCAACCTTTGGGTTTTTGCATTCTGAACCCTTCAAAAGAAAATGTTTGTTTATGTATATTAACCCATTACTGACAAAAATATTTGTTTCGAATTGAAAAATCTATATGGAACAAGTTTCAAGCGAATTCGATCAATTTTGAAAAATTCTTCAGCCATATTGAATCCGCCATTTTAAAATTTCAAAATCTGTTGTAAAATCTATAATCAGTAATCTTAACCCCCCTCCCCTGTAACAAGTTTCAAGTGAATACGCTCAATTTGAAAAAACTCCCTCCATATTGGATCTGACATATTTAATTTTAAAAATCTAATGCCAAATTCAAAATCAGCGACCTCAAAAACCCCCCCCAGGTAACAAGTTTCCAGTGAATCCGATCAATTTGAAAAAAAATCATCCGCCATATTGGATCCGACATTTTGATTTTGAAGAATCTGATGTCAGATTCGAAATCAGTGACCTCAATACCCCTGAGTAATGAGTTTCTATCTAATCCAATTTATTTTTAAGAATATTCCACCGCTTTAAATCCATCATCTTGAATTTTCAAAATCTGATGCAAAATCTGTAATCAGGAACCTTGAAAACTCCCTAGTAACAAGTTTCAAGCAAATCTGATCAATTTAAAAAAATAATCATCCGCCACATTTGCATCCGCCATTATTATTTTGGAAAATCTGATGCTAAATTTGTAATCAGTGACCGTAAAAATCGCATAGTAACGAGTTTCTAGCGAAACTGATCAATTTTCAACAAAATCTTCCGCCATATTGGATTCGACATTTTGATTTTTGAAAATCTAATGTCAGATTTGTAATCAGTGCCCCCGAAAACCACCGAGTAAAAAGTTTCAAACAAATCTGATCATTTCTCAAAAAATCTTCCAGCATATTGTATCCGCCATTTTTAATTTCGAAAACCCCACAGTCGATTTGTAATCAGCGTACATTTTCCAAGGTCAATACTGTTTATAAAAAATAAGAAGCTTTTAGCTAAATAAACTAACTAATAATTATTAAATTTGTTACCTAGGGATTTTTGGGGTTACTGATTAAAATCGATTTTAAAATCCGAATTTGATGTTACATTTAAAAAATTTAAAATAGCGGATCCAATATGTCAAAAAAAAATTTGAAAATTGATTTGATTTACTTGAAACTTGTTACTCAGGGATTTTTTGGGTCGTTGAATCCGAATTTAATGTTACATTTAAAAAATTCAAAATGGATCCAATAAAGCGAAAAAAAATTTTGTAAATTGATTAGATTTACATAAAACTTCCCAGATAGCACGGAAACTTGCAGCAAGCTTGCGGCAAGCTTACCGTGCAAGCTTGTCTGAGCTAGCGAAATATCCCACCCAGGGCAAACTTGCCGTGAAAGCTTGCTGTATACTTTCCAGGAAAGGTTGCTGCAATCTTGCCATGAAAGATTGCTGTAAGCTTGCTACGTAAGGTTGCAGGAGAATTTCAACAAGCTTCTGGAAAGGTTGCTGCAAGCTTGCTGCAATTTTTAAAAAATACATTTTAAATTTTAAAAAAATTTATTTGTTTTCTAAATTTGAAGATCCTTGTGACGTTTATTATTATTAATTATGTCCTGTTTATTTTCATTTGGAAACTTAACGAGAAAATTTTCGTAACAAATTTGAGGGGACTGGGAATTGAACCCGGGTTCGACAGACACTAACCAAAGACCCTAACCGAGAACCTACTCGACCAACTAACAGAGAATAAAAAAATCTTCCTCTCAACTTTCGACTGTTTTTATGAGTTGAAAAACAGTTGAAAAACGGCGGGCTTTTTCAAAATTCTTTTAAATATAAATTTTGTGTTTTTTATTTCATTTGTTAATTAATCAATGTTATTATTCCGTGCTATCTGGGTTGTTACTACGTAGAAAAAACCTATTCTCATTTTTGTTGCAACTCAAAATGAACCAATGCTAAACGACATAGACAGTGGCGCTAGCAATTTGGTTCATTTTTGTTGCACTTAAAAATGAGCCGCCTACACTGCTCATTGTGAGTTCAATTTTTTTCTGTATAGATAATGTCAGATTTAAGTTATTCAAAATAACGGATTCAATCTGGCGGCATAAAATTTAAAAATTGATCAAATTCTTTTGCTACCTGTTATTAGCGGTTTTTTTTTATCTTTAATTTTCCTTTTCATTTTAATTCAACTCTCTTTTATTGATACATTTTGATTTGATTTATTACTGAGTTGTGATTAAAAATATGAAGAGAAATTATTAATTCATCTGTTTTTGGGGTCACTGATCAATACTGTCTAATCATGTGGGATTTAAAATTTCAGTTTCAATTCAAAGTGAAAATTTTTGACATTTTGAAGTTAATGGGTTAATGCATACATTTATACAAATTTAATAATACTAGAAACCTGAAATTCTCTTCAATAGTTGATATAAATTTTTAAAATTAACGAAAAATTTTCTTGTAAATTCTTTAAATTTCCCTTTTTAAGATTGTAAGAAAAATTCGTCGAATAATCCTAATGAAAAAGTATTAAATTTATTTATTATTTATTATATTAATTCTATTAAAGTATCTTAATTTTTATAAACCCAGTAACTTATGCATTGTCTTAACATTACTTTTTCTTTTCCTACGTTTGTTCATATTTTCTTTGTTTTATTTAATTTTTCCAAAATAGCTTTTGAATGTTTGTGTTTGTATTACTATTTATTATATGTAAAGCAACTTCAGCCATGGCTTTCACTTCGCTTGCTAGCTGCATTATTTTTCTTTTTTATTCAGTATTCTATCAAAAAAAAAATTAAAAAAAAAAAAAAAAAATTCGTCCCATGACAGATGTTAAGAAAATTGTAAATGTTTTGTGTAAATGTAGAATTTTTTTTCACTATTGAAGTCCTTAAAAATGTTTTAAAGACTTGTTTACTTCATTCAATTGTTATTTCACAAAACAGTATTAGTTACTGATAACAATATTGACGTCCGTCATTTCTTTTTTGGGGATGTAGTTCGTTGTATATGAATTTGATTTTCAGAGAAGAAGTTTCTTTTTCCACAGATAGCGACGATTGTGAACAATGTGCTGGAATTCTCGAGGAATTGGAGAATATCGATGATGATTGCGATCGACATGGTGTACATTTTGTTAAAACACAAGTACGTGCTAATTTATAATTAATTTTTTTAGGTTTTTTTTCTATAATTAAAAAAATCAATTATCTTCTAGGATTATAAAATAGCAGAGGATTATGGAGCCACTGAATTTCCGGTATTAGTTTATTTCAAAAATCAAGTACCAAATGTTTTTGAAGGTATGATTTCTTTTTTTCCTTAAAAAAAAAAAATTCTAGGGAGAATTTTTTATTTTTATTATCAAAAAAAATTAAAAATTTTTTTTAACAGGTAGTTTATCAGAAGAAGAGGAAGTACTTCAATGGTTAATTACTCAAAAAACTGAAGATCGAATAGAATTAATAACAAGAGTAATGCTAGAATCATCTGTTGAGGATACACAATATCTTGCTGTTTATTTCTGTAAGTGATTAATATTTCGAGTTGTCTATTTTAGTATGTTTTTTTAATTTAATTAAATAAATTCTATTATAAATATATTATTTTATTTATAGATAAACAAAATTGTCACATATGTGATGAAATCTTGGAAGGATTAGAACAAATTGATGATGAATGTGATTTATTTGGCATTCATGTTGTCAAAATTCAAGATCCCCAACTTGCCAAGAGATATTCTATTAAAACATTCCCAGCTCTTGTATACTTTAGAAATGGAAATCCTCTTTTGTTTGAAGGTTGGTGAAAAAAAGTTTTTCAAAATCTTCTCATTCTATATTTTTTAAGTTTATTTTATCCCCAAGATGAAAATAACAAATCCCTTTCTTCACCTCACTCTCCATATGTTTCAAATATCAATAATGATCGTTACCGAATTGCAACTGCGCTTGCGCTACTACAACTCTCTCATTGGTAGAAAAAGGCACTTTTTTATTTAAAATAGTTTATTATAAAAAATAGTTTAGGAAACTAAAATTTTTTTTTTTTAATTCTTAGTAAATAAAAAAAAATTGCAAGTATTCAATTTATTGTATTTACCCAGATAGCATGAAAACTTGCGGCAAGCTTACCGTGCAAGCTTGTCAAGCTTGCCGCAAGCTTGTCTAAGCTAGCGAAATGTCCCACCCAGGGCAAGCTTGCCGTGGAAGCTTGCTGTAAGCTTTCCAGGAAAGATTGTTGCAATCTTGCCATGAAAGATTGCTACAAGATTGCTGCAAGCATACTAAGAATGATTGCGGCAAGCTTGCCGTGAAAGATTGCTGTAAGCTTGCTACGTAAGATTGCAGGAGAATTTCAACAAGCTTCTGGAAAGGTTGCTGCAATTTTTAAAAAATACATTTTAAATTAAAAAAAAATTTATTTGTTTTCTAAATTTGAAGATCCTTGTGACGTTTATTATTATTAATTATGTCCTGTTTATTTTCATTTGGAAACTTAACGAGAAAATTTTCGTAACAAATTTGAGGGGACTGGGAATTGAACCCGGGTTCGACAGACACTAACCAAAGACCCTAACCGAGAACCTACTCGACCAACTAACAGAGAATAAAAAAATCTTCCTCTCAACTCTCGTTTTTCAACTGTTTTTCAACTCATAAAAACAGTCGAGGGTTAAGAGCAAGATTTTTTTATTCTCTGATAGTTGGTCGAGTAGGTTCTCGGTTAGGGTCTTTTGTTAGTGTCTGTCGAACCCGGGTTCAATTCCCAGTCCCCTCAAATTTGTTTCGAAAATTTTCTCGTTAAGTTTCCAAATGAAAATAAACAGGACATAATTAATTATAATAAACGTCACAAGGATTTTCAAATTTAGAAAACAAATACATTTTTTTAAAATTTAAAATGTATTTTTTAAAAATTGCAGCAAGCTTGCAGCAACCTTGCAACAACCTTTCCAGAAGCTTGTTGAAATTCTCCTGCAACCTTACGTAGCAAGCTTACAGCAATCTTTCACGGCAAGCTTGCCGCAATCATTCTTAGTATGCTTGCAGCAATCTTTCCTGGAAAGCTTACAGCAAGCTTTCACGGCAAGATTGCTCTGGGTGGGATATTTCGCTAGCTCAGACAAGCTTGTAGCAAGCTTGCACGGTAAGCTTGCTGCAAGTTTCCGTGCTATCTGGGTATGTTTAATTATAATTAAGAAATATTTTTTTCGACTAAATTCATAAAATAATTATTTTTCAGGTGATCTTCAAAATGAATTATCAGTTCTTGAATGGCTTTGCGACGATGATGTTCGTGAATTGAAGGATGAAATCGAAGCAGTCAATGCAAGAATGTTGGAACGTTTACTAGACGAATCACCTTTCCTTGCCGTTTTTTTCTGTAAGTTTTTTAACTATTTTTTTTTCTTTTTCTACTTTTTCAAATAGAAATTTGTTTATATTTCTCAATTTTAGTTAAAAATATCCAAAGATATCGCTCACTATTAATAAAAAAAGCAGATATTAATAACTAATTAATTATTAGAATATTTTTCTTATTATTAAAATCGAGATTTAAATTAAAATGGAATTTAATATAAGAAATGAAAATTAAATTACACAAACTTACATTTTTTCCCCGAGCATTATTTTATATAAAGCCTAATACATAGCCTAATGAATATAATTTTAATTAACCATTGAAGAAAAGTTGTTCTTTTTTTTCTTTATTATTTTGTATATACACTTTTGATAAATAGAATTGGATATTATTGTTATTATTCTACTCATAATAATATAATGAACAGTTTTTCTTCTCCATCATCATTATTATTATTATTATTATTATTATTATTATTATATAGTAGCGTGATAAATGGAGCTCATTATAATTGAACATTTATGTTAATACTTTAATATTCAGTTGAGGAAGGTTGTCCCGAATGCAACGAAATAATAGAAGCTTTAGAGAAAATCGATGGCGACGCTGATTTATTTGGAATTGACTTTGTCAAAGTCTCTGAGCCTGATGCAGCTGAAAAATATGGTATTCTCAATCTTCCGTCTCTGGTTTACTTCCGTAAGAAGGAGCCGCTTATTTACGATGGCGACCTCACTCAGGAAGACAAAATATTGTCATGGCTCACATCTCAAGATGTTTTCGTTCTTAAAAATGAAATTGACGAAGTTAATAAGAAAATGTTGGATAAACTCTTGGATGAAAATGAATTTCTTGCTGTCTTCTTTTGTAAGTTATTTCAATTTATCATTTTTAATTAGATGACGCACATTTTTTTTTCACTCTTGATAATACTTATATATTTTCTTTTTTTTCAAACTCCCTCCTCTTTTTTTTGTTTTGCAGATGATCACGACAGCAAAGAGAGTGCCGCAGTGAACGACAAACTTGAAGAAATTGACGAAGAAACAGAAAACTTAGACATCACTTTTGTGAAAATGGCAGATCCTCGATATGCCAGAAAATGGGGAGTGACAAAACTTCCGGCCATTGTCTATTTCCGCAAACGTTTTCCTAGTATTTATCGAGGTATGATGGATATTGCATTTTTTTTCCCTAACAAATACAATATTATTATAAAAATGAAATTCGAAAAAAATCAAATGTTAGCTCGAAGAATGAATAAAAAACATAGGGACTTAACATTTGCTCCGGGCGCAACAAATTTTACTTGCATTTTTTCAAAATTGATTATTAAAAAAATTCCATATACAGTTTTTTTCATGAAGAGTTAAAATTATTTAAAATTAATTTTAGCTTCCGGGATGACTCGTCCGCACTATAGAGCTGGCCCTGATTTTTATAAAAAAGGAACAAAATGAAAAAAAAAAACGATACAATTTATAATTGGAACAATCTATTGATTCTTAATTAAATATTCTTCCAATTAACAAAGCACTTTTTTAAATTACTCTTTAACAAGTGTGTATGGTGAAAATATTAACTAGTGAAATAATACCTTTAATTTGAGGGAAATTAAATTTTGGCATAAACGCAAACAATATTTTCCATGATAAACTGTCCAACTCGCATTCAAATGTGTGTTGGTGTTATGGCTTGGCAAAACTTCCGCTTTTAAATGAAACGGACCATTCACGGTTAATAATTCAGATTATGAGGTCTCTTAATATTTGCTTTATTATCCTTTAATAATAATAATGTTATTATTCTTCATTATAAAATATTATGGATTTAAAAACTTTGGAGATTTATAAAAAATGATAAGTTAATAATTTCCTAACGAAGAATAATATAGGATTAAATTATAATTATTTCTTCCACAACTGTAACATTCCTACATGTTTTTAATTTTAATCATTCATGAAATGTCATGTTTGCAAAAAGAAAAATAAAATGATTTTTTAAAGTTGATAAAAAATTCTTTTTACGGGACTAATTTATTATATTTACTTTTATATTTTAGTTTAGAATATTTTTAAATATTTCAAAATAATTTAAGAGTATTTCCAGATACTTTAGGATATTTTACGAAACTTTAGATAATTTAGGATAAACATTAGGTGGATTTTTAGAATGTTATGGAAATTATCTGGACCATTTGCTTACGCACGAGATTATAATCTTTGTACATAAACCACGCAGCCGATCCTCACAATCTTTGCTTAAGTTTCCGTACCTAATTATTCTTTTCATAATTAGGCAACATATAAATATAATTTTTATGCGTCCCAATTCATCCAGCCTGTCCGCCTCCTCTGGGTCGGTGACAACAACCGCAAGCTTCATCCATTACCAGTTGCACCCTAAGACCGTCACTTTCCTGATTACTAGCTTCTAAATTACATTTTCCAACTCTTCATGGTCCTCGTATACCTGGGTAAAGCAATCCAAGTCACGGATCACAAGTGTGACCTTTCGAATCACTGACTGCAGCTTACCAATGCTTTGGTGACCTCTGCTCTAAAAGCATCCTCTTTGAAGTCGTGTCCAATTTTAATCAGGATGTCTCCCTTTTTTATAGTTATAGAAGCTACCGTTTATGTCCTAATTGGATTTTTTGCGAAGCTTACTTAAAACGTCAGCATACCATCTGTGCCTAAGGAACCATATCTGATTACTCCTTTATTAATTAGGCAATACATAAATTCATTTTTTTTGACAAACAATTCTTCCAGCCTGTCCTCTTTTTTTGGGTCGGAGATAACTACCTCAAGCTTCATCCATTACCAGTTGGACCCTAAGATAGTCACTTTTCTGATTACTAGTTTCTAGATTATATTTTCAAACTCTTGTTGGACCTCATCTACCTGGATAAGACCAATCCAAGTCGCCGATCTCAAGTATGACCTTTCGATTCACCGATTACACCTTACCAATGCTTCCGACTGCTTTGGTAACGTCCGCGGTGAAAGCCTTCTCATTGGAGTCGTCTCCATTTTTGATCAGGATTTCTACCATTTTAGTAGGTTTACCACCTACCGCTGTTGCAAGGCTTATGTCCGGATTGAACCTTTTTGCGAAGCTTACTCAAAACGTCATCATACATTCTGTGCCTCAGTGGGCCATACCTTACTTTTCTTCATTACTCTTCTTAATTAGACAATACATAAACCCAATCTTTTTGCCAAACAATTTTTCCAACCAGTTCGCCTCTTCTGGGTCGGTGACAACAACCGTGAGGTTCATCCAACGCCGGTTGGGACATAAGTCTGTCTCCTTTCTACTTATTGGTTTCTAAATTTCTTCAATTTGATATGGATGTCTCCCATTTTGGTATACATTCTGTGCCTCAGGGGCCATACCTGATTACTCTTCTTAATTAGGCAATACATAAATCCAATCTATTTTCCAAACAATTTTTCCAGTCTGTCCGCCTTTTCTATGTCGAAAACAACAACCGTGAGGTTCATCCAACGCCGGTTGGGTCATAAGGCCTTAACCTTCCTTCTTACTGGTTTCTCAACTGTATTTTCCAACGCTTGTTGGATCTCATTTACCTGGGTAAGGCAATTTAAGTCGCGGTTATTAAGTGTGACCTTTCGAATCACCGACTGCATCTTACCTCTGCAGTGAAAGCCTGCTCGTTGAGGTCGTCTCCTATTTTATCAGGATGTCTCCCTTTTTGTAACTGTAGCATCTACCACTTTTGTAAGACTAATGTCCGGATTGATCTTTTTACAAAGCTTACCCAAAACGTCAGCATATATGAGTATCCTTGAGTAACTCGGATTACCGTCGTTGATCCTCTTGTCAATTTTTTCTTTATTTCCATCCGCTGTTATTTTGGTGCTTTCGTTGTCTTTTTGTTCTGCAGAAACTCTTGCTTTTCGTAGTTATTCATATTCTTTCTGTCAACCAATTTTTGTTTGTTTCGGAATAAACGCAATACTTCCTATACCTAAGTAGCGTGCTTCCGCCACCCGATGAGACACTCAATGGGAGACCAAACAATTCGTCTCCCTCTATTAATATGTGGGAATTAAAACAAACCTAAAAAAATAGTACAGCTACCAATAAATACTTTCTTTGTTCAAAAATAAAAGAGAGCAAAATTTTATTATTCCTCTTCTTCATTTGCAAATTATAAAATATTTTGAATATTAATAATTCCACGCGATTTGTTTTTATAAACTGTTTTTAATAAATCCTTTTTTTAATTACAGGCGACATTCACAACGAGCAAGATGTATTGGATTGGCTACGAAAGAACAGATTCCGTCAACCTGAATTAAACATATATATGTACATGTTAATAGCTGTTGCTATATTGTTCGCATTGTACACTGGATTTCTACTTTCCTGTTTCCGGACAGAATCACCAGCACCAGCGGCGCATCATCAAAAACAAGCGTGAGCAAAATAATGGGAGAGTGCGCGGGTTATATATATATATATATATATATACATATATATGTATATACATGTATATATATATAATAGACTCAAGTAACGACCGTAAGCACCCCCCCAAAGCAACCCTGCGGAGTTAAAACGCATATCAATCGATCTGTGTGTACTCGAATGTCGGAATGCGACTTCGCATCAAGTCATGTGGTTAACAACCTCCAAATTCCGGGCATTTAATGGTGAGAGATGTGAACGCGGTGCACTGTCGCGCAATTACAGAATTCCACTTCAAGTTTGCTGAGAAATGGAAGGGTTCGAATTTAGAAGAGATAGAGAGAGAGAGAGAAACGAGAAATTACTCTAATTAACAAAGTCCATAAAATCGGATCTTATAAATTTTTCTAGCTACTTTATTCTTCACATTTTTCTTTTTTGTTATGACTTTTTAAATTATCTTAAAAAATGACATCGATTTAAATATTTCATCAGACAAAAATTTTTTCATTCTTTTTTAATTTTTATTCTAATTTCAACATTGGGGATAAATTTTCTTTTTACTTTCGAAACGAATTCTGTGATTTTTTTTTTTTTTTTAAATATGCGAAAACTTTTCTATTGATTGAAAAAAAAGAACACAAACTTTCTGAATTGAAATAAGGAAAATATTTCAATCGTTTTAAAATGTTTGAATTGAAAAATAAATTGTTAGACATCACAGAAGAGAAATATATAGATAATAAAAAAAAAAAAATAAAAGTCAACTGTTGGGAATAATGAGAGTTCTGTAACTCGAAACGAAAAATTCGAACCATTAAGAAACAACTAATAATTGAAATATTTTTTATTTCTATATAAATTTTTAATGATCTATTCCACAGAAATATTTTATATATATTTAAAATCAACAAAATCTAAAACAGTTTTATCTCCTATATTTTTTATTTATAGGATGAAAAAGAAGCTGTTTTTAAAAATAATTAAACTCTGTCTACTTATAGCTATATATATATATAAAAAAAATAAAAATCAATAGATATAATGATAGTGCAATATAAAATGGAATACTAAGATTTTATTTTAAAGCGTTTCCACCTGATTGGGAAAATTATTCATCACTTATTTACATATTAAACTTCTATATTGAATAAAAGGAAATAAATAACTGTTTTAAAATTAACTTTGAAATTATATTATTATTAGTATATTGCTATAATTTTTATTAAAGTTTTGTACACATTATAAAATTATAACTTATTAAAAGTGAATGCAATGCTTTTATTTTAATTCAATTTTTAAGTTACTTAAAATTAAATTTTAATTATCAATTTTGTATTTAATTTTTAAATTAACTTAAAATTTTCTCTGAATACTTTTCTCTCATCAGGTGGTAAATAAAAATTCCAAAAATATTATTCCGATTACAGGATTGATAGAACTCTAAAACAAAACTTTTATGTATAATGTAAAAAAAAAGAAAAGTTTTTACCAATTAAGTTTAAAAAATAGTAAACACATCCATATTTAGATTTTTTTTAGAAAATTTTCTTCTCCTTTTCCAATTAATTTGTATACATCAAAGTGTGAACCTAGTATTGTATAATATGAGTAAGATTATAGCTTCCATTTGACTTTGTTATTATAATATCAGTCTACAAATTTTATAAATAACAGAGATTATTTATAAATAATGTATAATATATGTAATTGACATGGAATTCGAGCCAATCGTGTTAGGAATTAATTATTTTAATAATTTTTTATGGTATGTGTATTTTATTTCGACCAATAATAATGTTCATATATATATATATATATATATATATATATATATAAAATATGGTTTATCTTCCACATATTTGCAATAGAATGTGAATATTATTCTTTTTGTGTATAAGGTACACGTAAGGTGCTCGTATTTAATTATGAAATAAAAGTGTAATTGATACAGTAATTGAAATTAAGGGATTCTTGACAACATTGCCCTCAAGGATATTATAAATATCCTAAATACATTATAATATATCATGTGAATGTAGTTTGCACTTTAAAAGTAAAATGCACACAAAGTATATGTAAACAGTATAGCACTGACAACGGCGAAAATTGCTCGCTCAAATTCTCTGTATAAATAAATCAATAAATATGTATAAATATATTAATTTGTTTCTTTTGAAACGCTGTTGTTATTTCTAGAAATGTTCACGAAATCTAATTGTTCACAATTTATAGTTTTAGACACATTTTCAATTGTGGGGTGACCTACGTTTTGCAGTACCAAAAATCATTGTAAAAGATGATGAGAGAAGAAGAAGAAGAAGAAGAAGAAGAAGAAGAAGAGGCAGAATATTTAATCTCTTGAATGAACGCAGCTGTGGATGTCTGGTGACAACACTATTGCTCAAGGATGTTCTTATGCTGATGTTTTGAGTAAGCTTCGCAAAAAGTTTAATTCGGAGATAAATCTTGCAAATGCGGTAGGTAATAAAGCTACCAAAATAGGAGACATCCATATCAAATTGAAGAAATTTAGAAACCAATAAGTAGAAAGGAGACAGACTTATGTCCCAACCGGCGTTGGATGAACCTCACGGTTGTTGTCATCGACCCAGAAGAGGCGAACTGGTTGGAAAAATTGTTTGGCAAAAAGATTGGGTTTATGTATTGCCTAATTAAGAAAAGAATAATCAGGTATGGCCCCTTAGGCACAGAATGCATGCTGACATTTTGAGTAAGATTCGTAAAAAGTTGAATTCGGAGATAAATCTTTTGTAAAAGCGGTAGGTGCTAGACCTACTAAAATGGGAGACATTATAATCAAAATTGAAGATAACTCCAAAGAGGAGGCTTTCATCTCAAAGGTTACGAAAGCAGTCGGAAGCATTGGTAAGGTGCAGTCGGTGATTCGAAAAGTCACACTTGAGATCCGCGACTTGGATTGTTTTACCCAGGTAGAGGAGGTCCAACAAGCGTTGGAAAGTACAATTGAGAAACCAGTAAGTAGGAAGGTGATAGCCTTAAGACCCAACCGGCGTTGGATGAACCTCACGGTTGTTGTCACCGACCTAGAAAAGGCGGACAGACTGGAAAAATTGTTTGGCAAAAAGATTGGATTTATGTATTGCTTAATTAAGAAGAGTAATCAGGTACATCCACTCAGACAGAGATTGTATGCTGACGTATTGAGTAAGCTTCGCAAAAAGGTTCAATCCGGACATAAGCCTTGCAACAGCGGTAGGTGGTAAACCTACTAAAATGGTAGAGATCCTGATCAAAAATGGAGACGACTCCAATGAGAAGGCTTTCACCGCGGACGTTACCAAAGCAGTCGGAAGCATTGGTAAGGTGTAATCGGTGAATCGAAAGTTCATATTTGAGATCGGCGACTTGGATTGCCTTACCCAGGTAGATGAGGTCCAACAAGAGTTTGAAAATGTAATCTAGAAGCTAGTAATCAGAAAAGTGACGGTCTTAGGGTCCAACTGGTAATGGATGAAGCTTGAAGTAGTTGTCTCCGACCCAAAAAAAGAGGACAGGCTGGAAGAATTGTTTGTCAAAAAGAATGAATTTATGTATTGCCTAATTAATAAAGGAGTAATCAGATATGGTTTCTTATGCACAGATGGTTTGCTGACGTTATGAGTAAGCTTCGCAGAAAATTCAATTTGGACATAAATCTTTGCATCTTGCTGCTAGAACTATAAAAAAGGGAGACATCCTGATCAAAATTGGACAGGACTCCAAAGAGGATGCTTTCAGAGCAGAGGTTACCAAAGCAGTTGGAAGCATTGGTAAGCTGCAGTCAATGATTCGAAAGGTCACACTTGAGATCCGTGACTTGGATTGCTTTACCCAGGTATACGAGGACCATGAAGAGTTGGAAAATGTAATTTAGAAGCTAGTAATCAGGAAAGTGACGGTCTTAGGGTCCAACTGCTAATGAATGAAGCTTGCAGTTGTTGTCTCTGACCTAGCAGAGATGGTCAGGATGGAAGAGGTATGACGCATAAAAATTTGTATTTATGTGTTGCCTAATTAAGAAAAGAGTAATCAGGTACGACCGCTTAGGCAAATCAATTAAATACTTTTTATCAGAGAAAAAAGTGCCATAAGATTAAATTAAAAGGAAATAAATTGCCAGTGTATAAAAATCAGGAGTGTTTATGAATGTTTATATTTTAGGAAAAAATTTTTCAACAGAAACCCTGTGCATTTAATTTGATAATGCAAATAATCACTAATATAACTAATATATTTATGATGGATGTAAAATAATAACTAGAAAAATTTACAAAGTGATGTTTTAAATTAGTATACAACAAATTCACAAGTGTAAATGATGATGAATTAAATTAAGATAGAGCTACAAAATTTAATGGACATTGCATTTCCCTGACTGACAAATTTTTAAAATATAAAAAGCTAGGAAAAGCAAATACCAAAAGCAAACAGTAACGCTACTTACATATATAAAATCCGTTTTGTAAATATATTCTCTTAGTAATATTAAACAAGTGTTCTAAAAATATATTTTTGTGAGTCGCAAAAAATCCTCCACTACTTTTATCTCTTAATCTCGTCACTATTTTCCTTATCTGACAAGAACATCTACAAAGTCTACAACAAATTTTAAATTTACCAGATATCACCCTTAAATCATCAAGTGTAATAATTCAGGCAAAAATTCTTCCATGACCCAAATACAACATTACATTCGTGTGTGATATTTTCAAATAATCTGTAAAAGCGTGACGATTATGGATAATCCGAAAAAGATTGAGAAACATGTTTTTGTGGTAAATTAGTCTACGATTTAAAGTCTTGGAATTATGCTAGAGTATTCGCATTTCTCCACAGAAGAAAGATGAAGGGGGGGTGAAGACGTTGGTGAAAAGCATGGTTAAGAAAGGACGTCGCGTGATACTTGAAGTAAGGCTTGCGTGTCGAACTTTAATTTGCTATGTTGAATCAAGTGTATTAAGCATACCACCAACTTACTTCTATCAACTATAATACTAAAAGAGTTAATTATTTTTTACTTTCAGAGATATATAAAATCCAATTTTTTCTTTTCAATTACTGTCACAATTTAAATGATATCACATAAAAACGATGCAACAGAAAATTTTATAATTAAATTTTTTTCAAAATTTTTGATTTTTAAATTGGTAATTATCTGTTTATTGTAGAATGGCAATAAACATTAACCCAATGAAATGTAATTTATCGGAGAGACTATATATAAATTGAGGTAGTTTGAAAGAGGAGAAAAAAAAAATTAAATTGCTTGGTGCTTTTCGACTACAATGCTTTGGCATGAACCTGTAATAAAAGAAAGCTTTAGCTCTCTAGGATTACCACGATTTAGATACGCCTTTTGCTGTGGTTAAGGTGAAAACATAGAACTAGCAATTCTTCCTCATCTATTGGGTCAGTGTTGCGTATGTAAGGTAATTGTTTTTCTAACTGGAAATTCTAGATTAGATTTTATAAATAAATCTTTTACCAACATTCAAAAGGTCTTTTGAGCTTCAAACGTTTCTCTACATGTTTCGTCATACAAAAGAACGGAATAGGAATTTAGGAACCAAAAAAATCCTCAGTCGTGCTGAATCAAAGTCCGGACCTTGCTGTTAAAAATTTAGAGGAATTTTTTTGCAAAACAAATTCTAATCAATGAAAATAAAAATCCATCGTTCTAATAGATTCAAATGTTTTATTAAAAATTAACTACTATTAGTGGCTTTGATATCTTTTTCCCTAAATTCAAAATTGTCTGGAACATGAAGTGAACTAGAAGTACCTTTCATTTACAAATCCAGAGATTTCGACTAGCTTTAAGCAGATGTAGTCGAATTTCTGGTCAAACGAGTAAAGGTCGAGGACTTCATGGGTCACTAAGATGGTTTAGAACTACTCAAGATTGAAAGGGGAGGATAAAGGTCGTCCAGACTACTCCAGGAACTGATGAATTACCCAACGGGTAGCTTTCTAAGCTAGCGAGATCAAACTTCTGTGGTTCTGCCTTTCCGCAATTAAATTACACGTATTACATGTCTACATTATAAGGACATGGTTTATCAACGTAAATAAATAGCGCGGTAAAATAAATCATCAATTTTATTTGTTTTTACATTTACAAAAAAGAAATTAATAAAACTTAAAATGATATTTTTATAATCTTAATAATTAAAAATAGACAGAAAACAGGTGTAAAGAAATAAATAAAAATTGTTAATTGGATCTAATTGATTATTCATTATTTATAAATAACAGCTACCCTTATTGAATTCAAATTAATAATTAGAGATTAAACTTAAAGAGAGGAATGAAAGGCCTGAATAAAGAAAAATGGAAATAATAATTATATTAATTTGGCTTTTGGGGAAAAGTTTAAGGTATAATTTTTTGTAAACGCAACAAAGAAAATATTAAACACAAGTTTTGTAGATACGATTCCAATAATATGAGATTTAGATGAAGAAAATAGTTCATAAATACCAGGTGGGCAGTTTCCGATAAGCTGGATTGCACTTATCAAACCAGGATTAGTACGCGTCCTTGCGTATACGTTATCCCAACTAATGCTCTAATAATGAACGTTACTCATCAGCATGCAAACGTAATGCCTCGGCTTGGATATTGTGAGCCATTAATATCTGGTTTTCCGATATATGGATCATAAGAGTTATTCATTCAACGCGGTTTCATAATTACAGAAAGGGACTCATATTTTTTTTTTCTTTCTATAGAAAATAAAACTTCAATTTGCAATAGAAGAATATTTGTAAATTGATAAAAAGAATTCTAATATTAATCGCGGAAAAAGAAGAGATGGATTAAAAAACATGATTTTAAAAATATTAATTATTCGGAAATGAAGTAATACTTTACATTAAATCTATTATTAATTGAATTATTATTTATTGCCACGTTGCAGTGCATAAAGAATTCTATAGTTATAGAGAATTGTTTTTAAATGACGATATTCGATTTGTCAAAGAATGTGGAACATGATTCTCAGTACGTATATATATTGAAGATAGAGCCATTGACATACTCCTTTTATATACACTTGGTTAATTTTTCATTCATCGTATACGCATACGAGACAAAGGTCACAGAGAAGAGAGAAAAAAAAGGGGTAGGGTTGTTAACCCTATTGCACTTGTCAATTTGTATATATACTCTCTTCCAATAAGAGAAGAAGCATAAGGTTGCTTACAATAATGTACAGCATACATACAAGTTCGCTGATAATATCCGCATGAATGGTGAAAAGTTCTTCCACCTATACGAGTAACTGTAAAAGAGCATACATTATTTACATATATATATACACTCGTATACATCAAGATTAGATTACCGTCCATCAATCACATAAATGATAAATTTATTTCCCCCATACTTTCCAGCAGAGTATATCGATTGTAAAACTATAGACTCTCTCGTATATATAGAGAGGAAACAATTTTTCCAATTTTTTTTTTTTTTTTGTAATATGAAAAGTTGATTACGACCCTCGCAACTCGGAAATCAGTAGTGTTTTGTCGATACAATGGTCACAGTCAGTAGGACAACATATTGGTTTTGATTGAATGCTCGAAAAGCTTTAGGCTACGATGCACTGGGATGTATTTGGGCGGAACTGTTTCGATAGTGTATGCGGTATTGCAGACGAATGCGGAATTGCGTAGATCTATATATATATATATATACACAACAAAATATGAGAATTGAAAATCGAAATGCATTTTTTTATCAACTTAATTGGCGTATGTTGCTAGAATTAACCTTTTTTTAAAAGACATTTAAAACAACTTCTTTTGTTAAATGTACCTTTTTTATATATTTTAAATTCTAACAAATTTTCACAATAAATCTACTTGAATATATTAAGAACTTGCAATTGATTGCGCGAGAGAGAGCAAAAAAATTAAAGAATCAAGAAAACGCGAAACCAATTTACGATTGCCAGTTCGAAGCAATATCCGGTCTTTAAAGAGAAATTATCGTAGTTCATTTGGTGAATGATAATAATGTAAAAAAAAAATAGGTCACGTCAGTGATTCTGAGTGAAAATTTTTTTTTGAATGCATCAGGTGCACGACAAAACATTTCAAACGATGATTTGCAAATAAAATGAATAGGTGGCTATATAATCAAGTACCATGTTAACAATATGTACCATTCAAAATCGATGCATTTCATCGACAATTCGTGATTGTTCAACGATAATAATTTTTTATTGTATTTAATCAAAAAAAAAAAAAAAAAAAAAAATTAAAATGAAACAAAAACATTAAAAAGAAATTATTAAACCTAAAATTTGTGAATAACGATTGAAAATTTTAAATTATAATAAAAATTACAAATCTGGTTTTTGAGAAAGTGGAGAAGATGCAACCTTTTGTGAAAATCGTGTATAAAAAGGACCTCATATGCCAAGAGAAGTTAGTTCAGATTTTGGTACAAGCGCATCGCCATCACATACGAATTTTCTTAGTTTCTAAGTACTGTTACTTTGCCCTAATTCATATTCGTTTAGACTTTGTTCTTAGACGTAGTTCTATCACTACGTAAAAGAAGAAGTTCTCCATCAACAGTTTTGAAGAAAACCATTCTAGTTCTCGTGGATTCAACTCTACTTTACTGCAATCCTTAAGAAACATCTTTACTCCTTTTCTTAAAGAACTATTTTCTTCTAATTTGGTTTTCGTCACGGTCAAATGGACTCCAGAATTGAGTACATCATTGATGTCCGATAACCTTCTTGTTATCAGTCGTTAATGTAGATTTCTATGTCGGTAATTTTTATACCATCATTTTCCTGCTTTTACCATCTGTCGATAATTTAGATTTCTGTGCCGGTAATTTTTTATATCGTTATTTTTTGTTTTTGCCATCAGTCGGTAATGTAGATTTCTATGTCAGTAATTTTTTATATTTTCATTTTCTTGTTTTTACCATGATAATGTAGATTTTTGTGCCGGTAATTTTTATCATCGTTATTTTTTGTTTTGTCATCAGTCGGTAATGTAGATTTCTATGTCGGTAATTTTTTTATATTCCCATGTTAATTTTCAAAAATTGCCATACGGAATCACAAAATAGACAAAATTTGCTGTAATTTAATACCATATTGAGCTTTTTTTAATTAAATCTATTATGGGCAGAGGGGGTGTCTTTTTCACAAAAAATGCTCCAAATATATTTATTTATTTACAAATATTTGTTTATTTATCAACAATTGTTAATTTATAAATGTATTTATTTAACAAATGAATTAAAAACAATATTTATTTATTATTAAATAATTTACGGTGACGTGACACAATTAAAAAAAAAATAATTTATGATTTTTAAATTATTGTCGATTAATTTTTGTTTCTAATATTATTATCGACTATTATAATTATTGATATTATGTTATTAAAAATTATATAATTAATTTCAGCACTGTTATAAATAGTTCGTTAATTTTGACATTCAGTTTTATAATTCGTAAATAATATTATTATTGTCTATAAAATAAGCTATTTTTGATCATATAAAATTGAATCAATTGTTAATATTTATTTAATTATAAATGCATTAAGGAGGCGACATATTAATATGATAAAATTAGTAATACCCCAAAAAGTGACATCAATTAAGAAACATTGCTTATTATTATTTTCGCATTAGACGAAAAATGTTTTAATAATTGAGTGCTTTTATTTTTATATTTTTAAATGGCTTAATGAACAATAATGAACCATTTTTGGTGTTAATAAATTACTCATTATATGCAAAGGAAATAAATTAAAATCATTCTCTAAAAATAAAAAAATAATTTTATACAAAATTCTTAAAAAACGAACTTAATTTTTAGTTTGTAAATCTTTGTTTATTCAAATATAAAAAATTTTAATTTTCACTCGAAAAATTTATCTAATGTTTATTTGTTCTTCATTGATAAATTTTTTTATTTTATTTTGTAATTATAAATATCAATGTTGCATAATTCAAAAGATTTTTGTACGGCACTGAGAAGCTGGGAATAAATATATAATCAACAAAAGGGAAATAAGTTTCAAATCATATAATAAACGCGAGATTTCAGCGACTGTTTTAATCAGTGTGTCATATAGTGTTTCTCTCTCATCGTTATTACGTTATCTTGTGAATAATATTGAAATGCATCTGTTATATCTTGTTTCTATTTTTGGTAAGCAATGTCAGTAATAATAACTTTTGACCTACTTTACATTTGGTTTTGCATTATAATTACATGCAGTGTCTGTGTAATCTAAATTGAAACCCAATTGCTGTAAATTTTTATCAAGATTTTCTAAATCTTGATAAAAATTCACATAATAGTTACAATTTAAAATTTTGATTTATATTTTCATTTTTTTTTTTTTTTTGTACTTTTTTATGATCACAATTTTATCTCTCAATGATAAATATTTAATCATCATAAAAAAAAATGGAAAATGTCTCTTATTTTTTACTAATCTAATTTTTAAGCTATTTTATAAATATGGAAATTTTAAGAAATTTTAAATAATCACAATTATTATAATATTTTTAGCCCTTGTGACATCAATAGTAGGTGAAAATTGCGACTGCAAGCAATGCGATGCAAACAAAGTAATCGGTCTTGAAAATGATAATGAATCAGAGGAGGATACTGACAATGATGGAAATCGAATAATTTGTGCTCGAGATCGTGATTATGATGATCGATCATTCCCAAGTATATGCCATATGCGTTGTTTTAATAGATGCACTCGTTTTGGGCTACAAACCCTCGACGATAGTGATGAAGATATTAAAGTTTATGCATTATACAGAACAAGTGAGTTGTTACAATAAGACGTATATAATGTCTACTAAATCTGAATTAGTAATACTGTCAAGTTCTAGGTTAATTTAATTAATAACACAGGACCACAAAAAAAATCGAACTTTTTCAAAGGCAAATCAGAATATGATTTTCTGACGTATTTTGCTGAACACGAGTCTGATATGTTCAATTTGCACCATCATGTCAGGATTTTATTCTAACCCCAAAATAAAATGTTTTATCAAACAAGTAACTCAAAATTCTTATGGGCTTGGATTCGAGAGGTTTTTGGAGTCGATGATTACGAATCTGATATCAAATTTTCAAAATTCAAAATGGCGGATGCAATATGGTGGACAAATTTTTAAAAAGTTATTATATTTTCATGCAAATCAGTATCTAGGGGTTTTTAGGGTCGCTGATCACGAATCCAATGTCAGATTTTAAAAATTTGTAATGGCGGATGTAATATAAAGGATAATTTTAAAAAAAGTTATTAGATTTTCATGGAAATCTCTGTATCTAGGGAAAACTTTTTTTAAAATTATCCTTCATATTATCCTTCAATATTATCATTTTGAATTTTTAAAATCTGACATCGTATTCGTGATCAGGGACCCTAAAAACCACTCGATACTGATTTGCATTAAAATCTAATCATTTTTTAAAAAACTTGTCCGCCATATTGCACCCGCTATTTTGAATTTTAAAAATCTGATATCAGATTCGTAATCATAGACTCCAAAAACCTCTAAACTCCAAGCCCATAAGAATTTTGAGTTAGTTGTTTGATAAAACATTTTTTTTCGAGGTTAGAATAAAATCCTGACATTATGGAGCAAATTGAACATCAGATTCGTGTTCAGCAAAATACGTCAGAAAATAATATTCCGGTTTACCTTAGAACGTCAAATTAAAGAAACTATATATCTAATTTTTTGCATTTTTTCAGATTATTACAAATTACATGACGGAGAATGTGATACATAAATTTTTGATATAAAAATTATGCAATTATTTGTTATACGTTGGGATTTGTCTAATTTTCATTATTATTGTAATATTAATTTTTTTTGAAGAGCATAAAACATAAAAATGTATAAAAATATTCAATTCGATGTTTTATTTCTCCAAACATTTAACAAATTTTACTTCCACTTTTTTTTAAATAGAATTTTGTTAGATATAATTATTATTTTTTAGACCAAGTTTCATTTTTTGAAACAGCATTTCACAAAATTTCTTTTAAACAAATTTTTACTAAACATCATTTTTAGATACCGAATTTCTGTTTAACAGAATTTATATTTTGTAGACTTACTCTTTAACCAACTTTTTATTTAAAAAATTTCAATTTTATTGAATATTAATTAGCAGAATTCTCATTTAAAAGAATTTTAATTAATACAAAATTTTAAATACGTCTTAATTTTCAATTCCAATCAATAATTATCAAGAAAGTTGTGAGAGTGGAAATTGGAAAAAGTGGAAGTTGAAATGAAAGTGGGATTGAAAATTCGACAATGTGGAAGTGGGAATAATTTTTGTCCACTTTGGACGATCGCAATTAATAGGTTCTTGGTTCCTTTAAATTCATTTAAATCATTTATGTTGCTAATGATCCACATTCAAATGCGTATCAACTTTAAAAAATTTAAATATTAATTATAATATTTCAAATGATAATAAATAATATTTTCATTCATCATTATTTACTGTCTTTATATAAGAAAATATCGTGCCTTCCGGCAAGTAAACTTTCATAATTTTCTGAGTATTTTCCTTTCTGAATACAAGTCATAATTAGAATGTTTTTCGTAACGAAGGGATTTGTCCCTTTTTCCACATAAAAGAGAATCATTTTCTCATTAACAAAATATGATTTTCCAAATGATTACATCGTAATTATAAGTACAAGGAAATTTAATTCTGATAAAAAAAATAGTAATTTTACCAAAACAAGAAAAACATTTTTTTATTATTATATCTAAATCAATCACGGTGCGCTAGAAGGTGGTTTAAATAAAAATAAATTGTCACGTAAAAATTCTTTTTGATTATGATTCTTAGATGAATAAAAAACATTTCAATATAAAAACGGCACTAAACGTGAAAATGTTAAACATTAATTTTAAAATACTTTCTTCTCGAAAGACGGACACTTTTTTACAAAAACAGCTAGAGATTCTTATCTTATATAAATTTCCTAAATCCAAAAGATTATGCGAATCCATACAAAAACACGATTGCAAAACGAAAAGTAATATAATGACAGGTTCATTACCTCCTGCCGCCGTCAGATGGCAGCAGCATGCAGGGCGCACAAAGTCATAGCTGTTATTAGATTACTTTTCTATTTTTTGTTTTGCAACCATGTTTTTCTATGGATTCGTACCGTCTTTTGGATTTAGGAAATTTATAAGATTTGGTTCCTCATAAAACACTATTTTTATATATTTAAAACTCAATTTTTTTTTAAATTTGGCACGTAAGTTGATTTTAAAATCTATTGAAAAATGGTTTTTATTTATTTAAGAACCATAATCAAAAAGAATTTTTAAGTGCCAACTCATTTTTATTTAAACCTCCTTCTGGCGCACCGTGCACTATTTCTAGCGTAAATATAAAAAACGTTATCAGATATAAGATTACAAAGAAAACATCTGAGTAAACAGGTTATTAAGAATGCATTTCGCGTAAAAAATCTATTGTGTCATAAAATCAAAATAAAACTTTGTTTTGTATGTACATAACAAAAAGATTTGTTAAACTTGCCAGATAGGCAGCCAGAGAGTGCTTGTGTGTGTGTGTGTATGTGCTTTAAGGGGTCTTTGAAAAGGTGTAGATCGAAAGGATTTAACCAGACACAAAAGATTCTTTCGCAAATTGAGTTGCACCGCTCCAGAATTTAAACATTCAAATTAACCTACTTAGCAAGTTATGTGAGTGTGTATGCTATCTAGTGTGGAAGTTCGATATCGGTTAACTCCTGAAAAAAAGTCGTCTCTTATTAGAGAATTTTAACGAAGAGAACACGGTGGGTTCTAATTAAGTCTTTCTCGAAAACTTTACTTCACTGGATTTTTAATAATCAATGATATTGTTAAATTAAATTAAATTAACTACTTTGTTCATTATATAATTGTATATTTGTGAAAAAGAAAATAAGAATATATACAAATATTATTTCCCAATGAAATAAATTTGATTAATTTTTAAAATATATTAAATGCATACATTCTAAATGCATTAAATTTATCCTTTCACAATGAAATTTACTAATTTTTTATTTGCATTTTAACTTCATAGAATTATCAGAAAAAAAAGATATATACAATTTTTAGAGAAAAATCTATTTCCTACTATATTATTACTCTTGTATATAAATTTTTAAAATTATGTCCGACATATTGCAACCGCCATTTTGAATTTTGGAAAACGTTATCAGATTTGCAATCAGCGATTGAATTGAAATATTCGAAATAATTAGTCAGTGATATGTTATATTGGTGTACGAGTAACACAATTAATAACTTGTTTTACTAAAATTTTTTTAAATTCACAAAATAAATATGGTAAAAAATATTATTTGGAGCAATTTTATTCTATACCAAATTATAAGTTCCCTCCCTCATAACAAAAGGTTATCCCTAGGATATCGATATCAATGGTCGATATCCTAGAATGGTCCCCAGGATATCTTGGGATATCTTGGGATATCCATAGGATATCCAAACCGCCGGTCTGTTGGACATCAACAGGACATCCATAGGATATCCGCAGGATATCCCTAAAACATCCATAAAATATCTATTGGATATTATATCGCAGGATATCCATGGGATATCCTCAGGATGTCCGTGGAATATTCTTAGGATATTCACGGGATATTTAATATCTCAACATATATTTTTAAATGTTAAAATTGTTGAGCTAATATAATGAATAATAATATAATAAAAACAAAAATCTTATGAGCTTCTAATTTATTTTAAATGAAGATTTGAAACGCATTTTTCAAAGTTTTTAAATAAACTCATGCACTTAATGTATAATTAATATTAATATTTATTCGTTATTTGCGGGGAAGAATTTATATTGTTTAAAGCCAATTTATTTTCTGACAATATTAAGCATATGAATAAAGGAATGAATCACGAATGGGAAAAAAATTAGTTAATAATTTTTCAAATTAAACAACTTTCTCGAAAAACAAGTTGCATTTTATTTTAATTATATAAAAATTAATTCACAGAATATTCTCACTCCTAGTCTCATAATGACTTTAAAAACAGTATCCTGAGAATATCTTCTTGACATCCAGAAGATATACTGAGAATATCCTGAAAATATCTGTGGGATATCCTGACGATATCTATGAGATATCCTGATGATATCTGTGGGATATCCTGACGATATCTATGGGATATCTGGAGGACATTTATGAAAGTCTATAGAGATATCCAGAAGATATCTTGTGGATATTCTCAGATATCCATGGGATATCTAAACCGCCGATTTTTTGGATATCCTTAAGTGATCCTTTTGATATCCATAGGACATCCCTAGGATATCTTCGGGATATTATCAATATATCCCAAGATATCTTGTGTTATTAGGGCTTGGATTTTCTTTTTTCTTATTAAACATAACTTTTTTTAAAAGTATTTCCATGCATATATGTATATATATATATTAATAAAGTGGGGGTAAAATTTAGAAACCACTTTTTCATTTGAGGGTTAAATAAAAAAAGTTAAACGATTTTAATAATGACTTCTGTTATGTTATGGTTATGGTATTTAAGTTTATGTCAATTTTTCTTTAAAAAACGTCAACTCACGTGCAAGTGTACACCAAACTTTTTTTATATATATATAATTTCGTTACTCTGCAGCGCATAATAAGTCTCTTTATATTAGGTTACTTATAAAAGAGTTTCTATTTTATTAGATAACTTTTATAGTGTTATTGTTATATACAAAAATAATTTATATTTACTTTTAAAAGATTTAATATTTCCAGTTTGCTCAAAAATAAGACAAAAATCATTGTTTTTTTTTTTAAATATTACGACACTTTTTTTTAACAGAAATTTTTTGCTTAAAAAAATGTAAATATATATATATATATATATATATAGGTAATTTTGTGCTTTTCTTTCTGAATAAAACAGCTGTTAAAAGTATAATTTTATTTCACCATTAGTAGCGCAATGAAAAATTATGAAGAATAAGGAAAACTTTTCCTTTTGGCCCGTTAAGGTAAAGCCCTCGGGTGTGATTTGCTGTTCTTGCGGATGCTCTGATCGAATTTACTGCGGACATGGGAATTATCGAGAAAATTGTCAACCTAGCTGTGGATAATGACCTCTAAAAATAAAACGGGGGAAAAAGTCAAATAAAATTCGATCTATACAGCGGGAATAATACGCGATTCTTTTTTTTGAGTTACATTTATTTTGTTAAATGTATTTTTTAATTTCATATAGTTTCGCGAAAAAGGTATTATGTTTGGCTATGTATTTTATTATAGCAAGTATTTTCATTTTTTATTTAATTTCAGATATTAATTCTGAAAACAGATTATGAAAATTCAAAAAAAAAAAAAAATTTTTTGAATCATTTCCGTCATATTGGGTGCGCTATTTTGAATTTTTAAAATCTGATTTCAGATTTGTAATCAGCGACCCCGAAAATCCCTAGATATCAAGTTACATGAAAATGTAAAAAAAACATTTAAAAATTCGTCCGCAATTTTGAAAACTTGATTTCGTATTTGTAATAAGCGTTCCCAAAACCGCCGAGGAATGCATTTTAAGTGACTCCAGCCAATTTTTAAAAAAATTGTATGTTATATAACATGTGACATATTTTTTGAGGTTAGAAAAGAATCCTGACCTGATGGAACAAATCTGACCTCAGATTCGTGTTCAGTGCACCAAAATTCATGAGGTTAAGATACTCGAATCAGTGGCACATGAAACTTTTTTTGTGGAGCAGTGTAATATTAACAATTTACGTGTGTTCAACAGAAGGCGGAAATAAACATGATTCGATTTTCCGTAAATAATATAATTTTATAATAATGAGATCAATTCGGAAGTAA